ACGAAAAGAGAAAAGTAGTTTTAATACAGAGATTTTCATTGGGACTGACAAACATTTCTGAAGCTTCTCAAATAAACGTGTAGTGTATTGACGTCGCTGCCAAATTTTAGAATTGTGCACAAAGAAAAGCTTTGCTATCGTATATATAGGCGTCTAATGTGACAGCTATTTACAATTGTGTCTAATAAAAGACTGAGTACAAAGGTATCAACTTGGATGGTTGCCGTCACTTGTCCGCGATCAAGAAGCCACTATATCACAAAACCCATAACATTGAAGTACTGGGTGAAGTACGACAAATACCCGATAGACACTAAACAAATGCCAGTAGCCCGAAGACTATGGACACTTGACCAAATGCGACAAATGCACAATCGGACACTTTCCCGATTGCAACTAAGTTAGAACATTAGGTTTTGCGGAATAGACCTATCGAGTTCCCAACTCACTTATTTATATGTGTGTTATGGGATATGCTTGTCTCTGGCTCAGGTAGCAACCCCCAAATATAATTCGATCTGAAAAATATTTTAGCCAAATCTTTTCTACACAAAATGGAAACAAATGGGGGGGGGGGGGGGGGGGGGTGAGAGGTTGCCTCGTTGAAAAAATCTAAATTTTGAAAATAAGGACCGATTTGTAGCATTTGGGCAAGCGACATTTGGGCAAACGGCATTCGGGCAAACGGCATATTCGGATATATATATATATATATATATATATATATATATATATATATATATATATATATATATATATATATATATATATATATATATATATATTGATATACGTATCTTTTTACGCCGTTTTCCCAAATGCCGTTTGCCCGAATGCCGTGAAATGCACGAAAGCTGCTAGGCCGAAAGCTGACTGCCCCACTGTACTACATATATCTCAGCAGAAAGGCCTAAAAAGGTACAACAGTAGACTACTTATGTAGCTGCATCTATTACATGCGTGAAAACAAAACGTAGGTATTTTTATTGCACATCCCATACAGCTACTCATACAATTTATACCACTCTTCAGCTATTGACATTTACACTTTTATTGCTATTCATAAAATAATCTTTGTTTTCATACGTTGTCTTGTATCAATAATTCACAGCTAACATTTTAATACAGTACTATCATAGCATGTGCTATAAATTTTGGATGTTGAAGATAAGGATCTAAGGTTGTTTGTTTACGTAAAACCTGGTCTATTTTAAATTCCAACTCGTGTTCGCCCGTCATGATTGTGTTAATATTTATTATTTTTCACAAAGAGTTACACGAAAGAATAAACACCATAAATTTTTGTTGCAGTAGAAAAGGCATAAATCTTTTCTAATATGCAATAAGGAAGTTGAGCTTCTTGGATTGTTAAAGCGATGTCAGAACTGAATTTCACATTCTAAGCGAATAAGCGAAGTTTAATATTAACTGTAGAATTTGAACATTATTCTTTCACGACGCAAGCGCTTTAATGTTTAGCATCAATAATGAATACTGAGTATATAATAAAGTGCCCTTCCTTTCATGATCATTTTCTTTTATATCGTTAACAAAACAAAATGTCCACGCCTATGTCGTAACGTTTTAAAATCCTATTACATGTCAGATAATATGAAGCTATAACGATATAAAATATTAAAGTCTACTCATATGTTTATGCAACTCTCTCTTTTACAGTGTTTTCTAAAAATAATTCTAGTTATCTTACTATGTAACAATATTTCTATTTCAATAATAGGTTAAAAAATAATATAGAACTATTTTATATTATACGTTCGTTTAGCTATAACAGAAAAAAATAAAAATGCGATTGATTCATATTATTTAGGTAGGTGCACGTTTATAATGCTCTTCTTCTTTGAAGAATTATGAAATTTATTTTTGTAAATAATTAACATTATTGATATTATAGTATTTATTTGACATTTTTTATTATCTCATAAATTATATCACTTATATATGAAGGAGAAATCCGGTTAATGTAAAAAAACACATAATGTGTATATTTTGGCATTTTAATTCTAGACACTATATTTGTTTGACTCTAGGGGCAAGTAATATTCACTGCCTAGGGACATTTTTTAGAATGTTTATAGATTTCCCGTATGAGTCACATGACCACATTTGATAAGAGTGCTGTCGATAGCCAAGACCCCATGTCTTTCTTTACACTGACGCATTTATTTTTCCAAGTGATAATACTGGTCGTAACATTTACATGTGTTTATAATATGCCATAATGTTTAATACGGTGACGTTGACGTTTGCGTTTGCAAAAAAATATATTAAAATACTTTTAAAAGGTGGAGTCGTTGCAATGATTAAAAATAATAATTTTAGACCTTTTTAATTAATAAAGAACGTATATTTTATAACACAGTCAAATTTCACTATTCACCTAAGTTTATTTCACGCATTATTAAACCACTCCTCCCCCTCTTACCCTCACCCGTTGGCGAAATAATATTTAATTAAAACAAAACATATAGAAAGACTGCCAATTTTAACTGTAAAATAGGCACTGATTTGGACCTGCCCTACTTAGAGAACTTTAGTTTCCAGGACAAAGTTTTAACCGCACCAAATTATATGGCAGAACAAAGGGGAAATCAGTACCACTGCTCTCCCCTCAACATTTCTCACCTCCGTGCAATGTTTAGCACACATGGCTTATCAGGGGAAAGTATCAAGGCAGATTGGTTAGTATCACCCCTTCTTACATCCAAGAATCTTAACTCTGTACTGCTACACACTAGTTGTACTAATGTGGCTACTGTAAACTACTAGAATGTAGGCCCTACGTAGACCTATAATTGTATCAATTGTGGAGGGGTCCAATGGGGCCTAGCGATAACTAGTATCACTTAATTTGTATGTACTCAGCATTAACTATTTTGTGATTAAAATTAATTATTTTTACTGTGGAGTTAGCATAAACTAGGAGATAATACTTAATGCCCCGTGGCCCGGCTACATTTGCTACAATGTTGGGGTATGGCTTTAAATGCTAAATTAAACCCATTTAAAGTAAATTAATGGCCTTTATTATTATGTGTATATTGTGTAAGATGTGTTAGAATAAATTTAGATTAATTTCAATATTAGAATAAACTTGGATTAGTAAAAATCTTTGCAATGTACTGGTGCTAAAAGAGTGGCTATTAGTGCCCTCCTTTACCCTATATATACAAATATGCATGCATACATATTTCTATGTGTGTGTGAGTGTCATTGTGTTTGTTGTGCTTTTGTTTGTACGCGCATTATTTTTTTTATTAAAATAATTCTTTGTTATTTATTAAACTGAAATGTTTTATGTTCATAACCAACTCCTCTAAACGAATGAGTGTACTCTTATACAACAGAATTGGTTGTGACAGCACGTTTGATGGAATCCAGCTATTAAAATTTAGACGTTTGTAATAAAACTGTTCGTTTTCGAGATAATACATAATCGCTATGCAATGTGTTAATGGCTTTGAAATCTGTTATTTAAGTGTAGCAGATAAAACATGGGTTTTATTTTTTTTTAGGCAAACGTTCAAAACACATCCATGACTTATTTCGCTTTTTTAAATGTTTACTTCTCTTAATTATTACTTTAAAAAAATACATAGTAAAGATTGACATAGCATAAAAAGGAAAAATATTTAATACAAATAATACAAATACAAAAAAGCATAAAAATAAATATAACACGAGAAACTATTACACATACAAAGCTTTCACGCTTTACATTCTTTTGACCGGCTAAAGACTACAGTGCAGGCAGTATTGCAGCAAACACATTAAATAAAAAAAACACATTAAAAAAAAATAGTTCTAAATCTAAAAAAAATACAGACAAATGCACTCAAACACGTGACATTTTGTAATTTGTTTAAATTGAAAAAAAAAACATTTATTTTTCAAAACTCGATCAGGCCAGAAATGACGATCTAATGTTTGTATTCTGTGTTTTTATATATATATATATATATATATATATATATATATATATATATATATATATATATATACTTTTAAACTTCTTGTGTTATGTGCTACTGCTTGGCGTTTAAAACAATTTTCTAAATTATAAGCTTTTAATGCAATTACATGTATATACTACTAATAGGCATTGAGTGGAACGGTGTGGACTAGCGGTAGAGAGCTAGACTGCTAAACCGAGTCTCGAGGTCAAGTCCGGGATCAAATCAGTGGATCGTCCCTGAGTCCATGCAGCTCTGATGTGTACCTAACTTATGTTATGTAAACAAAGAAGGCTGGACATAATTCTGACCACGATATACCTTCCTATGCCGATGTCTCTAAAGCATTTTAACTCTATTTCATCTGCCCTATTGTCTTAAGCAGGACGGGAAACGATGATGATTATTACAAAAACAAAAGTAATGGGTTGATTTTGAAGGTTAATTGTAATTAAGCCGACAACCCCACGTCTAAATAGTTTAATAAAACCTAAACGGTCACACTAAGCAGCAATTATGTGCGATTTAGCAAAATCATTGTTCAGCTCTCAGGAATGAAAACACCTGTAAATTCAGATCATTTGACTGACCGAGTAGCTCTGCTTCTTATTATATTTATTTTTTTGTAATTGAAGATAGTAATCGTTAAATGAAATCTTAATGACTCATTTAATTTTCTTCTTTCTGTATAGATTGAAAATTAAGTATTCTTGCGTTGTCATAAGATACTTATTCATCTAGACAGTTTAAACGAAATCCTTGCATTAACGTTTTTGAAAATTGAATCACAACATTTGGGACAGATAGTCAGCGAGATCGTACTTCAAGTTTACAATAACACAACTAAGACGAGTCACAAATTTAAGTATAACACAATTAAGACTTATAAGTCAAATCTTCAAATTAAATATTTATTTGCAAAAAAATATGAGTACTTAACTAAATCAATAACAATTATTAACATAAAATAGTATTTGTATTTATTAATAAATTATATTTTTGAAAAACATGTAACACTGTTTGAGTAAACCTAATGTTTTTAAATCTTACTGTTTTATTGGAGTAATTCTAAACTATTATAAACATTGTTAAAAAGAAACTAAAGTAAAATAGTATATGTTACGATTGCTTTGAATCAATAATGTATTGTATATGTATAATTCATAGATTGTTTTAAGCAGAATGATATTGTTGTGTCATTCACATCAACGCATCTCTTTACATTGGCTTAAAGACGTAGCCTTGCCCTGCTTGGTGTAAGTCCCGCTAGGACATGGTCTACAGCTGAATGAAATCTCCTGGTCCTGGTATGTCCCTGGTGGACAGGCTGTACAGCTGTTGGTCTCATTGGTGTACATGTGGCCTGGGCCACAGCCGGCTGGAATAGATTAACAGTGAATTAAATCAAATTTAGATTAAAATTTGATCAAGTATATATTATGTTACTCATACAATAAAGTACAACTATTCATTCTGTAAGCCATCACTACCACACGAAAATGCAAGCCTTACCACACGACATTGTCCTGTAAATAAAGAGAGTCCCTGGTTCACATACAATGACAGCTTCACCTCTCTCAATCATGTCGTGCATGCCAAGTATAGGTGAGTGTACGACCCTCGAGTTCAATGTCATCTCCAGGTGGTCATTTACAGAGCTGACCAAATCCTTCATATAACGAAGCGGTGAGCTAGCATTTAGCTGGCCGAATGTTATATAAGCTGAAATCTGTTTTTTATACAATTTAAGAAATATTACTTTTATGATACTCTTAATGAGCAAATACTTTAACAGCAAAACATTAAAGCGATAATGCCCATTCAACTCAAAGAATATACGATTGGAGTTTTTAATTATTACGGTTAAACCAATTCATAAAACAATTACATAGTGCTAGCATATAAAAGGGAACTACGTAATTTTATCTTAATAATATTGTCGCTTCTTAATATTACGAGAACTTATGTTTCGCTATTTCTTAGTTTGCATTAAAAAGGCTGTAGGTAAAACCAAAATTCAAAGCAAAATGCTCTAAATAGATTTTTTGGACAAGAAAATATATTATCTTGCTTGTTTCGTATTTTAAATTGTATTGCTTTATTACAAGCTTTTGTTTTTGTCAATTATGGGGAAAGCTAGTAATTTGTACCCGCTGACGTAAACAATTTGTTTTAAAAATTCGAAAGGTAAACAGTTTATTTTTACGTTGAAGCAATCTTGGTGGTAAACTAGAGTGGAAAAGCATTATTTTAATTTGTAACTAGGTTGGTGTTTACAAACAGGTACTAAGTATTCGCACAAGATTCTAAAAAGTACCGCTGGAGAAGATAAAGCGGAAGTGATCTTCCCTAAAATTTCTCGACTATTTTTATGAAACACTATGATGGGTGGAAACTCAGGATGTAGACATGATTTTCAATCCATTTTAATTACTTAAACTTTTTAAAAATAGAATAGAATCTCGTAGAGAAAAGAATAGCACACCAAGTGAACAGCGAAAAATGCGCGTTTATTCGTGCGGAACATTAGTACTTCGGTTTTGAGTTATTAGAAATTAAAGTACTACTTCCGCTCAATAGAAATTACATGTTTGACAGATAACAGAGATTTAGATCTTTTAATGTGTATATGCAATTTTATTTACATAAACAGTTCTCAAGACTTTTGAAAAACCAAAAGTAGAATAATTTCCACTTCCGGTTACCGGAAATCGCTGAGAAGTTGATACAGAGCTACAAATTTGATGTTTACTTATATATGAAATTTCTTCAACCTAGCTGTAACAGTACTCGTTATCGTGTTTGCAGTCACACAGACACACAGATGCACAGACAAATAGACACCTACACAAAATCAGAGAAGAAAGCAGAACTGTGTGATTCCAACTCAGGGAGCTAGAAAACGTCAAGATTTGTAAAAATCTAGATTTCGATTTTTTTTTGCACGGTTACAATACTTTATCTATACTTCGTATACGAGAAAGTTAAAACAAAAAAGCACGAAGGATATAAAGATAAAATGTTTAGCACTAACGTAATCATTTTTATACAGCTATTGGTCTCTACATAACCGTTGAAATCGCAAAACGTTTAGTTCTACATAGTTTTCGAGTTAAATATGACATACATTCGTTTAAATGTATCAAAATACAAATCTTTGGCTTTTATCCATATTGACCGAAAAGACTAACGTTCATTTTGAGGTCGTTTATAGAACCGGTATATTGCTATAAGAGTAGGCTATACTGCTCTATGCGAAATGTATAGCATATACATTTCCATAATTGTTCAATACATGGTAATGTAGCACTCAAACCATTATAACAAAAAAAAACGAACTTGTTATTATAAATATTTTGTAAATATTTGTAAATCTAACTTTAGTTACCTTGTATTCAAAATGCATGTCCGAACGTTTTTTCCTTTTAGCATTTGTGACAGGTCCACATGTGACGTCAATGTTGTCCACAGAACAACGGTTCTCACAAACGTCTTCTAGACCCAAGTTCAACATAATTTCCCTGAAGTTCTCTTTTATATCTGTTCGATTTGTATTGCATGTTCCAGAGAAAAAATAAATGTTCGGTTTTGTGATCAGTTGTCCAGGTCTGGTGCGCACTACATATTTCATAGAAACAAAAAAAAAAAACAATTTTGTTATACAATAAAGTAAAATTGATTTACTTTAATGCAACGGTAAATAGTGTATATAGTGGGTATGTCTTTAAATAATATATTAAAGGAAATATATTTTTCCTTTAATGCTAAAACAAACAAAACATCTATGTTGTTGATTGATGGCTTCAAACTACATTGACTTGTAAAAGCTTTTTCCTTGTAATAAATGTGTGTAATGAGTTTTAGGTTTTAATTGGTAATCATTATATATACATTTAAAAGTGATGAATGCGCTTGTGTTTGTGTGTTTGTTTACACGTTTGTTTTTTATGTCCTTCTACATCATAACCATATTGTCTTAGGAAGTTAGAAAGTTCTTTGTCGAGCAATATTAAATGTCGAAGGCATGACGAACAGGCGGCATTGTACAGTTGATCACCCCGAGATTACAAAAGAACACATGGTGCATTTATTAGGTGTCCTCTACAAGGGTTCACACGCTGTAATAGAATCAGTTATCAGTCGAAACCTCCCCGGTTTTCCCGAGAGCGCTATGACGCCTAAGCTCGGTTTTAAGAGCGCTCTGCAGTAGGGATGCGTTAAGTTAACTAAATTCGATGATTAAATCTATCAAGTTGCGACAATAGGCGCCCCTATGATAGTGAAACCGTTATTCGTCGTTCAGGCTCTGGGGACTTGTTGAGTAGGCTACAACAAAGCTAAGTTTTCTAGCATATCATGCCTTAAAAAAATATAGTACGGTCGAACCATTTGCGGAGTCCAGACGCTATTTTCTGTTGAGCGTCCTGAATTCTCCGGCGCGTACCCTGGATCTTGAGATCCGAAAATAATATGTAATGTGAATAAAAAGTTGTTAATCAACCGAAAACTGTTAATTTGATATCCAGGAATTTCTGATGGTAAAAACTGATAAAACTGCATAAAATATTAACAGAACTTAAATTCAGCAGAACTAATGTTTAACGCCGGCGTTAATAAAATATGTGACAACGTTCGAAGAATGCAATAAATTGTGGATTAACATCAATAACTAATTTAATTTACTTTTTTTATAACAAATAAAGACATATATTGTGACACACCTGTGCATCCAGGTACAAACGTAGTAGGATTCCAAATGCCCATAGACGGGAAACACATGTACTGTTCCGGTGCTGAGGCCGGGTAAGTGAAGTTTGCATTGCACATGATGGCACAGACTTCACCGGCTGGACTCAACTTCTCACAGCTCATAGCACCGTTTGTGGGGGAGGGTAGTCTGCTGCAAGTCTGAGCTGTAAATTAGAACAAAATTAAAGACAGTATTTTTGTAAATATAACCTGTACATTTACACAATATACTAAAACATACTAAAACTATACTAAAACATACATATAATTAAATTAAAGTATGGACTACATTCATGCTTTTATACAAGTATTGCATAAAAGCATGAATGTAGTCCTTAAGACCGTACCTTTACAATAAGGTTTGTTGTTGCCTGACCACACCCACTGGATACCGTTTGTATTAATGCTTGTGTCACACACAATAGAACCTGGACCTATGACAGGGTTTCCCTCAACACAGTTCATTGTACACTCAGCTCCGTAGACGTAGCCACTTGAACAGTTATAGAAGATTGTTCCTGTGTTGTCCAGGTTTGGCGCTGGGCATTCTCTGGCTGAAACAGTATAGATATTTTACATATCCAAACAAGACAACTACCAAACTTTTGAACTGTGATAAAGTGGAAAAGGTGTAAAGCAAAAATTTTAAACTTTAATTAACACAACAATTCCGACATTTTCTGCTTTTGAACAAATTATTACAGAAACAAAATTTTTATTTATCTAACTTCACAGATTATGATTTTAAACTCGTTGTATTCTATAGTATATAGGAAACGACAATAGATCTAAAACGCTTACATTTAATTGTTATTTCGAACAAACACGTTTTAGAGTTTCCTTGTGCGTCTGTGGCTGTGATATTGACAGTTGTTGTACCGATGTTAAATCTGGCACCAGACACAGGAGAGCCAACCACAACAACACTTTGACCCGAGTTGTCCGTCACGTTAGGGTACTGGTAGGTGACGTACGTAGATTCTCCAAGTCTGGCAGCTGGAACTTCAAAACTGGCTGGACATCCGGTGGGGAAACTTGGAGGCTCGACGTCTGGGAATTTGTTATAACATTATGAGAATAATGTATTTATTGAAAACTATCCATTAAAAACATAGAATTACATTTGTTGGTTACTTAACATAACAGTATGTACCTGTTGTTTTTAAGTTTTAACCAGTCTGCTATAAATAGCATCTAGTTAGTGTATACCTCTTTTGAAAAGCCACTTTTATGTCATGCACAATACACGTTTATTTTCCCTCTTATTAATACTGTTAAAAAGAATTATTTGACAACTTACCTAAACAAGAGCCAATCTGTGTCCATTGGATGTTGATGTTGCACTGAATAGTTGAAGGGGACAAAGCTTGGTAACCATGGTTACAGCTTAGATTACAAACAGATTGGTATGTTTGGCCATTTGGACAAACGATATTTCCATTGGCAACTAGTGGTGGTACGCTGCAAACTCTTGCTACATTTATGGAAAAAGAAATGTTTTTTGTAAATAACGATGTATTTTGCTTCTAATTTGAATTCATAATTTCTTTATGTTTTTAATCAATGTTTTATTATGTTTATATACATGTAGAGCTTATTTGTATAGACTTATTTTATATAAAAAAAATATAGGCCTACGTTTGCAGAGAGGTTTAGTGCTGCTCCATGTTTGATTGTCTAAACAAGTTTGTGTTGATGTTGATTCGATCTCGTAGCCTTGGTTACATGTTGTTGTGCATTCAGAGCCAAACGCGTTGCCATGGGAGCATTTCACAGCGGCATTTTGTATAGAGGGGTAGTTGAGGCAAAGCTTGACTATTGAATTAATTGATAAGATAAAATATTAGATTTTTGTAGAAGGGAATACATTTAAAAACTAAGGGAAAAAACGTTGTATTTAACATTTAGGCTATTTGTATAAAACTATAAAGTCACTCAGTGGAAAAAATAAATTGCTATACCAGTTACGTTAACTGCTGTAACACACACTGCAATGTTGTTGGTTGCATCTTTAGCTGTGAAGGTGACAGGTGTTTGACCTATGTCAAACAAAGACCCTGGTTGGATATCGCTGGTCAAGTCAAGAACAAGTCCAGAGTTATCTGTGGCATTAGGCGTTGTCCAGTACACACTGGGCTTGCTTAACTTTGGGCCAGCGTAGACATCAATTTTTGATTGACATTGTATCATGGGAGGCTCGGTATCTATCAGGTATTAATTCATCACATTTTAGTAACATCTTTCGCTACCTCTAAAGGTTTAAAATTAAACATAACAATGCCTGGTTAAATAATTACTTGCTAAATAACTCACCAATACATTTTCCAGGAACTGTCCATTGTTTATTAGCTTGACATCTTATAATGGAAGTATCTGACATGTATCCAGCATTACATGACAAATCACAAGTCGACTGATAGGTAGTGCTGGTACAACGTAGGACTCCGTTTTCTACAGTAGGCGGTGTTCCACATGAGATCACTAGATTAGAAGACTTATTAAGACGTTAAGACGTATATATATATATATGTATATATATATATATATATATATATATATATATATATATATATATATATATATATATATATATATATATATATGCAAAGTTGACAATATGTATCATCAAGTTCTCTCCGTCAAACTATCCCAGAAATATCTAATATCGTCGGCACAAATTATCTTGCTAAACACTTCTATAAATCTACATTGATATTTGACCTCTACATAAAGGCTTGGCGTAATTCCACATCTGGTTGCTGCCACACTCCACTAGCGAGGAACCAACCCGTTCATATCCTTCAGCACAGTTGTATGAACACTGGCTGCCGTAGATGTTCGGGTTGTTGGAAGGTTGACAAGAAACAACACCGTGTTCTGTGCTGGTATAGTCTGAAGGACATCTGCGTACTAGAATAGGCTATAAGTTAATTTTAGAAAAATATCAATTGTGGGGCTGATTACACTAATGCTTGGTCAATTGACAATTTATCAATTGAAAATTTACTTGAGTATACAGAATGAAATCATAACCTATAAAACAAAATAACGCATTGTTTCTTACCTATAACTCTAAAGGAGAAAGAACAATAAACAGTTGCGCCTTGACTGTCCGTTGCACTGTATGAAATCGTGTAGGAGCCTTCAGCAAATTGTGTTCCAGGAGATACGCCTTGAGTTTGTGCTACGCTACAAATAGAACATGAAAAAATATCTCAATACACATACGACTAAACTAAGGCACCGATCTAATATTTCAAGACTCCAATATATATATATATATATATATATATATATATATATATATATATATATATAAGGAAAATACAACTAACAAAGTAACAGAAAATAACTCAACTGCTCTTTAATTTTTTAATTTAATTTTTTATTTTTGAAGATATTATTTTATTATATCTTATAATTATTTGTGTTTTCTTTGAGATGTTTAGTCTCAGTATATTAAATTGCATACATTATGGTTTCCTCGATGTTTGGCCATATAGACCTACTATTAATCGATTTTGCTTTTATTAATTGACAGTACATACATACTTAACAAAGTCTTTTACCCAATGTTTCCGGTCTCTGGATCATATGCTGTTGCAGGACTCCATGTAACGTACTTAACAATTTGACTTTTGTCGGTATAAAAAGTTGACGCCACAACTGGGCAAGTTATAGTCGGTGGTTGGTTTGGTGGGGCTGAAATTGTTTGTTTTGTTTGTTATATCATTTGAATACATTGTAGATAAGTTTTAGCATTGTTTATAATATTTGTAGATTAACATAATTTAATCAACCCTCCGTCCAATTATAAAATAGTGCAACAAGAAATGATTTATTGCTAGAGAATTTATAAGACCTTTTTTAAGACCCCTGAAAATGATCTATAAAAAAAGAAATTATTCTTAGAATAAAAATAATAATGTATATGCTTTTAAAATTGAAAAAAAATCTACGAGATTGTATATTTACTTATGTATTTATTTTTTGTTTGTTTGTTGAAGTCACTTGAACAGAGCATCTGCACTATGAGTAAAACTTTAAAATACGTAATTATATAGAGTAACATTATTTTTGTTCTCATAATACGTTAGACACACATTTATTTTAAGACGAAATTAATGATATATTCAAATGTAAAAAAAAAACATTTACTCTAATTTTTATATTTTGGAATCAATGAAATTAGACTACATTGCCGGTTCAAAAGTTCTTTCGCTTTTGGCTCTAATGACATCTCTCGTTTAATTGTAATTAAGTTCCGACACTATTATCAATTTTCAATAGGATACGCTTAACATATCTTCTAATTTCAAGAAAAATAAAGAATTTACTTACGGATAAACTAAAAACTATAACAATTTTTGTTTAAATCATTAGTCTAAGATAAAGCAGCTAAAAGTATTTTTAAAAAAAGGGGTATAAAAGCACTATGAATTATTTTTTATTTTCTAAACTATTTTAATCCTTCAATACATCTTTGTTTATTAGCAATGGAATAGGTTTTATTAGATTACTGTTATATTTAAATTTAATATTTAATAAAAGTGGCCTCAATTTTGGTGAGTAAAATAATAAGATACATTTTCGCCACAGTAACGTGTAGTTCTGGACGATACGTTAGCCAGCCAGCCAATCTGTCACTCAAGCTGCGGGCACGAAACCTATGCAGTCATGCTAATTTATTAATTTGAATTCCTATTTCTATTAGTTTCAAACAATTGTCGATACTACACGGTTGACAAATCTTCCATTTCGAGAATATAAAGAAATAAATGTCGTATTCATATGTTGATATTTTTAAAAAATATGCTAGTAGACTAGATTGAAAATTACAGTTAAAAAGATAAACTTTATTCAAATTTTTCATAGTGGAGTTTATAAAAAATGTTTTAAAACTCTTACGTTCGCTACTGCCTCCTCCACACCAGAGCCAACATCTTTTTCTTCGGCGCAGCTTCAAATTATTACTTCTATAAGTTTCTGTCGATAAAAAATGATAGAATCACATTATTTTGAACGTCTTCAATTATTATTATATTGCAATTGTTTTCATGCAACTAAATTAAAATGTCCACACATCATACTTAGATACTTAATTATCTTTAAAGTAATTGTTATAATGTCAACCAATGTGTGCGTATTTTGCCAGGCAGTTTATATTGTCTCGAAAAAAACGCAATTAAGAAAATGTAAGTTGTATGTTGATATATGCTAAAAGTTTTAAAAAAAAACAACGTAAAAATGTATTGAACCTGGCAATTGCCATTCTCCTGACTGACAAGTGGCAACCTGTGTACTTCTGGCATTAGGTTGGAATGTACACTGACTTCCGTTTGGAACTGTTGGGTTGTTGTTCTCCTGATTAAGTTCAATAAGATGAGCCCCATCTGGTCCCACACATTGTGAGATTTGCATCTTGTATCCTAAAGTGCACCCAAGCTTTAAAAAGCGAAATAGTATTAACAATATAATAAGGGATATATATATATATATATATATATATATATATATATATATATATATATATATATAAATATTAGGGTGTTCATTCAAATGAAAATATAATTTTGTTTTCGATTTTTCTAAGGGCAACGTCTTTTTTGTTTCCTTTTAGTATAAAAGCAGCTCAAAAAATATTTATTTAGATTTCTATATTAAAATATATTATTTATATTTATTTGTATTTTAAAATTTAGAGATTGATACCAAAAGAAAAGTTTTGCTAAAACATCGAAGTTTATATATTTGATTTTACAAGTTGTAATTATACAGTTTTAAATCATTCTACTAAATATTCTAATTATTAGTAGACATTGATCGCTATTTTGGGGTAACGCCTGATTTAAATACATTATTGTTTATTTCCTTCGGCTGTTAGATACAAAAGCCTGTTATTCTATCTTATTTCATTGACAACTATGTTTATCACCACATATATTGTCTAGGCCTACTGATTGCTTATACAATACCAAAGATGATAATTTGTCAGAAATGTTTAGTTTTTTTTTATTTCACTTGAATTTTTGTCCGCAGCTTAATATTAAGCCTTGTCTACATTATAGATACGCCAGTTATATTGCGAGTCAGAATGCGCGTGATTTATATAAATACAACTAATATACGTATGGATAAGTTTATAAAATTTCATTATATACATACTTTATTAGAAATCAATTTACTCTCTAAAACTTACTGTGCCACTTTGAAAAAAGCAATAATCCTGGGTGCTCACTGATATTTTCACTTTTCATAAAGTTCATAAATAGGTTTGAGCTCTATTACAATATATAAGACCTATGTTTAATTTTCATCAAACAAACAAAATGGATTTGAGATGGGTTTTTAATGTGTAAATATAACGAACGCCTTTTTCATAATCTTTTTTATGTGAGAATTATTCAACTTTATTTTTATCATTTAACCTTGTTATGGGTCGAAAATTGAGAGATATAATTCGATAACGTCAAACAGGGCGTTTGCCTTCAAAAGTTTACCCGCTGAAAAATTTTATAATTACAACACAAAATCATAGCCGTCTAAATTGTCATACCCTTTTCTGTTGCTTGGTAGTAGTATGCACATTTTTACTACTGGAAATGTTTATTTGTAAACTTTTAGTCAATTTATGTTAACTAAATATTGTGTGGTTTACAGTCGTCGTCGTCGTCTAACTGCTGCTAACCCCTTAATTAAGACTCTAATGCTAATAGACTTACCGTCATAAAGTTGTAATGACCATCACTAGCTTTTGAAATCAATTTCATACTTATATTGGTAGTGGCTTTCACATTTACAAATAAAAACGCGAATAACATGTAGTTGATCATTTTGTTTGACAGTATGCCTGTTTAGAAAATAAATTAAATTTATAAAGGACTTATGTGAACGATATGCTTTTTGTTGCACATTAAAATTAATAGCAAACTTTTAATTTCAGACGTAACTCTAATTCTTTTTAAAAAAATAATAATTATAATTTGAAAGAGGATTGAATTCGCAAGTGTTTATAGTCAATACTAAATTTAAATGTTATCACATTCATGTCTGTTCATAAACTGTTTTTTTTTTTAAATTGTATAGATCATTGAAAAAAGTTATGCTCAAAACAGCAAAAAATAAGTTTAAAGCGGATCAATTTAAATATGTTAATATGACTTTTTGAGAATATTGTATTTTTCAGATGCCAACGGCAACAGATCTATCTCCATACACATTGTCTTTTACACATGCAAATGGTCGATCTAATTTAAGCACCTTTAAAACGGTGCAGTTTATTTGAGGCCACGGTTACGAAGGTCAGTGTTCGGTCACCTTAAGCGTGATTACTGATATCGCTATATTTTACCGGCTAAATTGAGGCTGAATAACGCCCTTTGGCTAGAACAACATCTGAAACTTTTAAACGTGTGAAATTTCGAACAACGCCTTGGGTGTATTTCTAATTATGGTATAAACATCATAAAACCTGATAAATCGCGTCATAAACAGTTGTCCTAATTTTGCGGAATTTTACTTATTTAATATAATGTCAAATTTCTTCGGTGGTTATGTGCGTGGTGGTAAGCCAATGTGGGTTATAACGAGTAGATTTCTAACCAACATCTATACAGTTTTTAGCCTGATTACACTATAAAAGCTGTCTAAGCCCCTACTTTATATGAAAAAATACAAAAAACAATATGTAGGTGAATACAGCTTTGATTTATTAATTTATTAATTTAATTATTTTGGATTTTTAACTGTTTGCTTTTTTTTGGCAAACGAAGATGTTCTCTTGGTTTTCATAATATTATATAAGTAGGCCTACATAATCAATGCAATTATCAAATATTTCAATAGTCTTTGGACTCCAGTATAGTGAATTGTTCATAGTAAGTTGTATCGAAATAATATTTTTTATTCTAACCGAAATTGTTTTTGAGAAGAAAGTCACGGACATTTCCCCAACAACCACCTATCTTGTGAAATTTAAGGTTTAAAAAGTAAAACAAACACTATACATATTCTTAGATAAAAAAAAGTATACGCTTTTATGATATGTATTAAAAACGGCCCACGACGAAGGCCAAAAGAAACCGGTTCTGTAACACCGTGACCGGATTCAAACAACCTGTATCGATCACGTGACTATGACAGTGATTACAGTACTATGATTAATAACAAAGGAAAAGTATTAATTCAACACATTGAGTCCTCTGTTTCATTTTAATATAATTGATTTCAGATTTAGATTACAAAACATGGAATAATTATCATTAAAAATTAATTAAAAAAAACCACTTTTTCTAATTCAACTAAAAAGTAGAGCCAGAAGAGGGAAAGTACCGAACCTTGTTTTTATCAAATTACAATTACTAGGTTATGTCCCTTTTTTGTACAAATCAATAGGGTTCTAAAATGATCAATAAAATTTTTATATGGATCAATTGGATCAATTTAATAATAATAATAATTGAATATTGTATTGTCATCGGAAACAAAACTTCCCTGAAAATTTCAGCGCGCTAGCTAACTGGGAAGTGCCCGAAATTTTGATTGCAAGATTTCATGGAAAGACAAACAAACAAACAAACAAACAGACGCGAAAGCAAGTTAAAGAAAACGTGGGAATAACCTCCTTTGCTACAAGTCCTAGGGTGCGCATCTAATATATAAAGCTCAATTCTGTATGTAAAAATAAGTTTGTCGTGGATATTTCAATGGATTTAAGTGTTAGATTAGTATAGTGCTCACGGTCTAAATTTATGAGTTAAAAAATTAATACTGAAAGTGTTGGGAAATAATTTTCATTTTTCAAACTGATAGTAATAATTGTCGGCATGTTCATTAAACACAATTTCAAAAAAAATATCAACTTTTACAAAAATTCTAATTATGTCTGAAAATTATTTATATTTAGTCCTTTAGCACTTACTTTCCTTTGATAAATTAGGAAAACACAATTACTTCCCTTTATAAATCATTGACGCCTACGTTCGTTTAAGTGAGTGCAAAAGACTATGAATAAGTTGGGGTACTATAGTCGTTTATTAAGCTGAAACAGGCGATTCCGCCCCGGGCTAGACTGTGAGCACTTTGCGTTTATGTTCGCGTTAGTGTTTTCTTTTTGTTTAGGTTGGGTTTGCGTTAGTGGCTGCGTTTTGATTTGGTTCGTTTTTGTTCTTTCTTTTTTTCGTTTTCGTTTGTGTTTTTTTCTTTGGGTTTGTGTTTGTATTTGTGTTTGTGTTTGTGGTTGGTTTTGCGTTTTGCGTTTGGATTTGGTTTGTTTTCCTTTGCTTTTTCGTTTGTGTTTTTTTCTTTGGGTTTGTGTTTGTGTTTATGGTTGGTTTTTTGTTTGGATTTGATTTGTTTTCGTTTGCTTTTTCGTTTTTTTTCTTTGTGTTCGTATTGGTGTTTTTGGTTGTGTTTGGGTTTGTTGTTAGGTTTTTGTTTTCGTTTGTATTTGTAATTGTGTTAGCGTTATGTTTGCGTTTTGTTGTTTTGGTTTTGGTTGGTTGTGGTTTGGGTGGGCAATGCCGGGTTTATGATGATTACTAAACACACAGACACAAGCAATGGTCTTTAACAGAAAGGTTTTTCACAGAAGCCAGAGCAGGGCCTGGCCGGGATGGCTAGTAACATATAAGATTAAATTGCATAGCGTTCGATTTTGTTTTACCAAATGAGCGAAAATAATGTTACTGTCAATAGTAAATAAAAACTTAATTTAGGAGCCCTTGGTGATAATTTCGAAGATAAATATTTAATGTACCGTGAATGCTAAGTTTAATTTTTCAGATAATTCTAGTTGAAATAATTTACATAAGTCATCCTTGATATTAAACTTCAGCCACCACAAATTCAAATGTAAATTATATAAGAATCTAAAATATTTTTTTTTTAAATATTGAATATCCGCACTTTTGAACATCAAATGTATTTATATTGTAATTATCGGACTATTGATACGTACCACACGCAACGAACACCATCCAACAAACTGAACCACAACACCGCACACCCCACCACGCAAATAACACTTTGCCACCTTTTCACATAAGCCTAATGTAAAAAGCATGTGTGTGGAAAAGAGTCACGAGCAAAATGACTTCTAAGATTATAATGAAGGCTATATCAGTGTTTTAGTAGCCAAAGCAAGTCCCTGTAACTAAGACAAACATTTCTGTACCTCTAAAAACTGTTTTGGTTACCAGTTTTTTTTATGTGCACGCTCTCGAGATATGTAAGGTGCCCATAAATAAATCAATAAAAAATGTTCCTTCATGTTATTTGTAATACTTGAACGCAATTGAATTGACAAGTCAACTCGTACATCAATACGGCTATTATTTTTAGTTCATGTTCTACGTTTTTAAAGCCCTCGAACACGATAAGCGCAACACCCCCATCCGATCTATTTTTGCTGTTATATCTAAGCTAGGTTTGTTTTTATCACTAACCCAATATTTGTGTTGTGTATACCTATACAATATTTTAACAGCAACCGACACACCTTAATATTAGTACAATTGCTCTGTTCGGTTTCATTTAGAGATTTAAAAAATGTATTTGTCTATGCATAAGATCTTTATATATAAAAATGAAAGTATGTGAGTTTATTTACGGGTGTGTTTGTTCTTTATGCATTAAAACACCTTTACTCCGATTGCCGTGTAATTTTGGTAAGCTAGTTCGAAAACTGCGGAAGAGGTGCCTATAAACAAAAATTAATTTGCACAGGAGGCGCCTCGGCAGGATGCGACTAGGCGCTTCAAGCTATCCTCTAAGCCAGGGGTTCCCAACCCTGTGCCCGCGGGCGCATGGCGCCCCCTGAACGATTCGTTTGTGTCCGCCTTTCACTATTCGGCAGAGACAGATTTTTTTCATAAACATTATTTTAAAATAAGATTTATTTTTATTCATTTGTTACAGTTTTAATTTTTTTTGACTGCCAAGGTTTATTAAATATGTTCGATACTTGTCCCAACTTGTCTAGCGGCGAGCCAGACTGCATTATTTACGCTAGCCTGCAACGGCTAGTGCCATTTGCACATCACACCTTGTACACGCAGAAAACCCGAAGTGAACAAATGGAACGAACGCCACGAACTGATCCGATAAACGCCGATAAAAGCGGCATATAAAATTGAATCATTTTTCGGTTCGACATATTTAGGCGAATCATTGTTTTCAAACTTGGCCCTTTTTTTCTAGTTCCGCCACTGACCACACCCTTACCCCTACCCCTACCCATACACCGTACACCGTACACCGTACAATGTACACCGTACACCGTACACCGTACACCGTACACCGTACACCGTACACCGTATACACTACACCGTACACACTACACCGTACACACTTCACCGCACACACTACACCGTACACACTACACCGTACGCATACACCATGCATCCTACGTATACGCATACATGCACCTGTACCTGTACCTTCACATATACAGGTACATGTGTAGGTACAGGTACATGTACAGGTGCAGGTACAGGTACAGGAACAGGTACAGGTACAGGTACAGGTACAGGTACAGGTACAGGTACAGGTACAGGTACAGGTACAGGTACAGGTACAGGTACAGGTACAGGTACAGGTACAGGTACAGGTACAGGTACAGGTACAGGTACAGGTACAGGTACAGGTACAGGTACAGGTACAGGTACAGGTACAGGTACAGGTACAGGTACAGGTACAGGTACAGGTACAGGTACAGGTACAGGTACAGGTACAGGTACAGGTACAGGTACAGGTACAGGTACAGGTACAGGTACAGGTACAGGTACAGGTACAGGTACAGGTACAGGTACAGGTACAGGTACAGGTACAGGTACAGGTACAGGTACAGGTACAGGTACAGGTACAGGTACAGGTACAGGTACAGGTACAGGTACAGGTACAGGTACATATCGAATTAGAGGTAGATAAATTGATAACAATTGAGATAAACATGTAAAATTGTTTCTTTACAACAAATACGAGTGGTTTATCATTTTGAAATCCATAAATGCAGTGTTTGATATATTAAAAAAGATCAAATTAACATGTGTTGAAAATCAGTACATGGTTTAAATGTTATGTAAGAGTTAGTCGAAAGCCCGCGAATACAAAACATACGCTAAACTAGGAAGTATAGATAGAGGTAAACTGTAGTCGTAAATATATTACCTCTAGAGATGCAGATACTTGAGTGTTTACTCTTGAATTAATAATTTATTGCAGCTTTGAAGGACACTTATATCTTTCATGAAAACTATATAGGTTCTATTTTATTCGACTGTACCCCATAGAGTGATTAGAAACTGCCAGAGAAAAAGAGCACCATTTAGTTAGTGTAAGATTGCTTTCGTTCCTAGAACTATTTATACAATTGTTATCATTAACTTAAACATCATGGCCATGAGATCATCGCAAATATTACTTTTATTTGCCTTTTGTTTAATGAATTTCTCATCGAATGCGGCTGAAATTTTAAAGGAAACCTTTCAACTGGATGGCTTGGACAATAACAAAGTAAGTATAAAACTGTGTGCGTAAATCGTTAAATCGTAGAACGAAATATCCTTTATTTCCCCATTCAAACATATAATGGACTTAATTTACGTGAATATGGGCAGCAAGGCTTAGTTAAATCTAAAAAAAAAAATAAAATACATATTTATTGTTTGTTATAATCTTTAAACTATAAGGCTCAATAGATAATAATGCTATATTTCTAATAAATTTAGTCAAGAAAATTATTGAACATGGGTATAGACTGTATGCGTATTTTTGAAACGTTTTTAATATTCTGTATAACATGTATGAGCCTTTATTAAAAATCTCAGTATTTTAAATTAAATTTAATTAGCATTACCCGTAACTTATAAAATTAAAAGAATTATACGTGTTCTTGAAAAAAATTACAGTGCAAGTTGGAATCAGGAATTACTTTAGAAATGTGTCACTTGCCTAAGACATCTCTTTATTTGGAAACGTCCGATCTAGTTCCTGAAGGAACTGTATGTGTCAGTCAAGAAAATGGAACACATTTAACATGCATAACAGGAAATTGGGAAGCGCCAGGTAACACATTAATGCAAATAAATGAATATTTAAGAACAAAAATCAAGCTAAACTTGACCAGTATGCTTAAATGAGATTGATGTATCTGCTATATATTATTATACAATAATTGAGAGAAGCATATAGGTTGTAAATGTAGGTGTCAAATTTTTACTGAAATATATTAATAGTCGTAATTTTAGTTAGAGACACGGAGAAAGCTCCGAACACATTTCATGAATATTTTAGCGTAAAAATAAAACTGTTTTATTTTAAGATTTGAAACATGATGAAATTTGAAAAAAAAAGTTTTAAACATTAACTCTAGTAAATAAAAATAAAAACATTTGGCTAACGTAGTTGGCTTAGAGATCATTGCATTATGACTAATCTTATATCTATTTTATCTCATTGTATTATGTTGGTATATTGTTTTGCGTATAAAAGTAGGACCAGTAGTTGGAATGAAGCATGTTTATGACGGAATGGACGTTAGGAAATAGAATGGTTGGTAGTGGAAAACTATTAATCGGCTACTGTGGTTTTATGATCTCGTTTTTTGTTAAGAGCAGATTTCACATTAAATCTGTAGAAGAGGATTTATGTTTGATTTTTTATCAGTGTCTATAATATCATAAAATGTTTACTTTAATTACATTGTATTAAGTACAGTTTACTTTTGTGCCCGCCTATCGCTTGGTGAATTTATTGCGTTGAACCACCCTTTCCCGACAAATACTCGAATGGACATTCGCCTACATAGACAACACCTTAAATTTTTTTTTTAATCTTAAAGATAAAACGTATGTGGGATTTTTAAAACTAATTTTTTTTGTTGTAAATTGTAATATAAAAAGTGTAAAATACAAAAAAAAAACGGATTTCTACCAATATACGGAAATTAAATTTTATATTTTTTTATTATTTTATCTCAGACTGTTTTTCTAAAAGGTACCTACTTTATTAAGTGATCGCCTTAGTACAGTATTTAAAAAAAGTATTTTAAAAGGAACCACAACTGCTATAATTCCTCCCCTCTATTTCATAGAATACGTCAATTATGCCAATGTCTATTTTCAAAGTAATTTATATTTGTGTGCCAAATAATGTTCTTAATTTTTTTAAGAACTCAAGAAGATTCGTGGTGTGTAAATAATGATATTTTTATTAAAATGTTAATGCTTATAAAAGGAGGATGACTCGCGGTCCGATTTCAGTATTCGACTGAAATTGAAACTTATAAAATTTCCTCTCTTTCAATATACTAGCATTGCGGGTGAAATGGGGAGTTTTTTTATTTCTAGATCAGTAACAGATTTATTTCCAATGCTTATATTAGACGACAGACATTTTTCAACCTGAAACTGGGTCTTTTACTAGCTATAATTGCTCAACAGCCAGACCCCAGCGAACCACTATACTTTTATTTATTACCAAACAACAGTGCCAAGCTTTGGCCTACTACGTTGTCCTGCTTCAGCTGCGACAGGGTTACTTTGCTCATAATCCATAACTGTTATTTCTATCTTCCGTATGCATAAGCTTAAATAGAAAAGTTCTTAATCAACATTTATTGTTACAATGTCCATATTTAAGTAATTGTCAATAATAATAAATCATGTTTTAAAATCAATATTTTCACTCAACAGATAGCCTACGAAACAAAGTTCTTGTGAAACATAGACATAAACGTTTTTGGCTTTTGCCTATATTGATTGCGTGCTATTTCTTATGCAACAAAAACGATGATCCTCCTTGTGAGTAGGCCTATATCTTTTAAACCAGCAATACCCTTAAAATAATGAAAATTATATTTTTAGTAAAAATTTAAAATAAATACATAATTCATTTCTTTTAGATACATTTCATAGAAATCTGTTATGGCGTAGTCGAGAAGTCACGACTGCTAACCCGAACTAAGTTTCGAACTCGGATCTCGGACTCGAGTTCGTAGTAAGTCTCTAAGTCCACACAGCTCTGACAATCGCCTTACTAACGTTAGTGAAAGTTAACGTTGTTAGGCAAATACTGAAC